GCACCTGTATTGTATTAAAATAATTAATTTATGGGATGCACCAGTCTAGCTGTTTCAGTTTATATATCAAGGTTGTTCAAACATTTTCTCCAAAATGAAAACCTATCTGAGAGCTGCAGCCAAATGCAATAATATAATTCATGAAGTACAAATACTTCTTAAGTACAGTCCTTTTATTTTAATGATTATGTCCTGCTGGAGTGTGACATGATTTGTTTGTGTACAAACTAATACAGTATCAGAATTTTATATATTTATACTTCTCATTCAACCACAATTAAATTCACTTTAAGGGGCGCAGTTTATATGGATAGCATTTATTTTTTACAATAACAAGCTGGAATGAAAACAAGCAAAAATGAATAAAAGTAATGACTTTCTACTTTTTTTTTTAAATGTAAGGAGTAGAAAGTACAGATAATTGTGTGAAAATGTAAGAAGTAAATTAAAAAGTAGGCTGAAAAATAATTACTCAAGTAAAGTACAGATACCCAAAAATTCTACTTAAGTACAGTAACGAAGTATTTGTACTTAGTTACTTTACAACTCTGGCACAGTAGTATTTGTACTTAGTTACTTTACAACTCTGGCACAGTACAGTAATAAATCTAAATGTCAGGCTGACGGACTCGTACACACCTGGGGTCGGATTTATAAAACTGGCGTACGCACAATTTGAGCCCAGGGGTCAGATTTATAAAACTGGCGTACGCACAATTTGAGCCCAGAAACTTGCGTACGCCACTTTTTACGCCAAGGTTGTGATTTATAAAATCCAAACTTGACGTGAAAGTGTGCGGTGCCTCACGCCAGCTCTGACCCTTGCGTACGCTCATTTTGGAGACATGAAGCTGCGACACAGATGGTGAAGTGAGGAATTAGAGCCACACTGTGTAATGATCACYGTCAGATATTTAATTTACCTTCATCAGACTTAGATTTTTATTCAACTTTATCATCAGCTTTCTTAACAGCAATATTTATGCTTCTGCTGCTGAGCCGTGAGGACCTTTGAAATAAAAAAAAAMCCTCAAATCTAAAATAAATTTCCTGTGCGCAAATCCCTTCATCTGCTTCCTCCTCAGACGACCCTGACCCACAGACCCCTCCCTGACCCACAGACCCCTCCCCGAGCAGGACAGCAAAAGTCAGGCTTTGGATACACGCACAGGGCGCATCCACCTCGCCAGTGTGAATGTTATAAAACTTCACGTTTAAAGTCCGTATTTGTCACGCGTGCGCGCGGGGGGATGCGTGCGTGCGTGCGTGCGTGCGTGCGTGCGTGCGTGCGTGCGTGTGTGTGTGTGTGTGCGGGGCGGGGGTGTCTGCCGCGGATAACAGAGCAGGCAGGAGGGGGAGAGGACGAGAAGAAGAGCGGTGGACTTATTTCTAATTTTATCTGACTTAATTAATTTAAATTTTATTGTTTTTATCGTCCTGCAGGCTCTGATGGAAAACTAATTTGAAGCTGAGTATTTTTTATAAAAATCGTTAGATTACTCTAAAGCAAAATGAGAGAAAATCTGTCAATTACAGACATTCTGTTCACGTGAGCAGCTGTCAGTCAGCACCTGTCATCCTCCAGACGCACGACGGAGCGTGTCTGAATCAATCACTTTTGTTGACATTGATCAGCTGACTGATTTAAATACATCTTAACATTCATGAGGTACTTTACATTGACTGTTTATGGTTGAGTGTGGGCGTGTAGAGGGCAGAACCTGAGGCGGGACCTCGTGCGCAAACTCTGACGTGTGGATGTGATTTATAAAGGAAAGATGCGCAGAAACGTGCGTATGCACAGTTTTATAAATCCGAATTTCTTTTGGCGTACTCCATTTCTGCCTTTTGGCCGTACGTTCACTTTTAGTATGGTTTCCACGCAATCCTTTATAAATGAGACCCCTGATCTTTCAGAGTGCAGACTGAAATCAGTCAAAACCGTGAACGGATGTTTTTCATCACGCTGCGGTGGGCTGCTCGGTCAACAAGTTGTGCCTGAAACTTATCATTAAATATGTGAATAAAATAACCATCCTTGCTTTGTTTGAATGTGTCTCTTGCTTTGTTTTGTTTCCCCCGTCCTCTAGGTAACGAGTGGCTGCTGGGCGGTCAGGTAGTGAATGGAGAAATCGTGGATCTGACGCAGCCCCTCGTTGTCTCAGCCAAACTGCCCCCTGTTCTGAAAGAGCCGGACGGAAACCTCAGCCTCACGTTAAACACCTGGGTGTATTTCTGCACGGAGGCCGGGAAAGCCTGCATGATGAAAGCAGCCTCGTTTACACTGCCTCTTTGTGTGGACTCCAGCCCTGGAGCCGGAGAGGTCACTGTGACATTAACTCATGCCTTCTAGAACCTGCTCAGTCACCACAGCCTCAGAGTTTACAGTTTATATTGACATGACAGGAAGACTTCCAATTTCTAAGTCTATAAACTAGGGCTGTGTATTGGCAAGAATTTGGCGATATGATACATATCATAACAGAGGGGTCACGATACGATATATCCCGATATATTGGGATACTGTTAGCAAGGCAGTATATTGCGATATATTGCATTTTTTGTCCAAAAATTCTATTAAATAAAAACCTCTTACTGAAAAAAAAAGAAAAGCTAATGTTTACTCACAATGCTAATGCT